CAGAAATATTGAAAAATAGCACTTAAAGCCAAACTATTGCTATTTTTATTTATCATATGGACTAGCTGTCTCACACAGAAAATTTGAAGAAATTCTGTTTTCGGCCGAAAATCGAGTGGTCGGTTCTTACACGGACAGCCTCTTAAGTTTTGAAACAGTTTTTGATTGGAAATTATCACTAACAAGACTATTGAGGCTAATTTCACTTGCCCGTCGGACCACCAAACTTCCATTTTCACTTGTCCAAAGGGAAAATTTACTTGCCCAAGGCAGTTGGGGCTGGGTTTTTCTGCACTGTTCATTCATTGTGAGGATACTGTAGTTGTTGCAAATAGTCGTGAATCATTCCCAGCTTCTCCTCCACTGACATGACGGGTGTAAACACAGGAGCTGTTGCATATGGCACCTAGGAGTCAATATAACCACACACTATTCAGTTATGAAAACAAATATTCCCTTAGAACTGCCTAATGGCTTTGATAATGGTTTTGAAAACCTAGTAAATGGCGCCATCTAAACACTACGGAGAAGGATTTTATCACCTTTCTTTTTGGGGCAGAGGGAAAAAGTTTATTTAAGAATCTGCACAGGTGGCAAAGGATTTCAGTGCAAAGCATAAGAAGTACCGGTATGCATGTACTTCTCCTCAGTATGGGCCACACAAGTTATTATTGTAACAGGAATGCAGATATCCAGCTGGAACATTTACTCATATGGATAGAGACATGTGAATATGTAGCTGCCATGCAATGATTTGGACAGCTGAACACTCAAGATTTTAGAGGCATCAGTAAAATGATGGTGATGATTCTCCTTTTTTCATTTTTGTTTAAGTGAAATGAATTCACAGTTGGTTCTAACCGCGCCAAGTGATATTATTGTAAGAGCTACTTCAGCTACTGCTGACCCTATGCGTGAGTTAAGGAGTTTCTAATGTTAGACAACAATTACCGCAGGTTGCCCTTTTTAAGTTCTTAAGGTGTCTGTGAAGTAAAAAACAATTGCTGCTTATTTGAAAGGCTTTTCAAAGTAAAGAAGAATAGCATTTTCCTTTTTTGGAATATCTTTTTTCATTTTAGAGATATTTACCTTTTTGTATTTGTATTTTGTGTTATGTTACTTTGTTTAAGAAAACATGTACTGTGTTTCTATAGAGTTACAGAAACATGAGTGAAAATTTGGGAGAGCGAAAAATGCTGTGGGAACATGAGCCATTAGGAGACTGTTTCCACAGCTTTTTCGAGTTCTCCCAAACTTGCAGGAGAGTTTCTATTTAACAATTAGATTATGAACTCAAGATCTCTATCATGTATAGAAATCGAGAGCGAATAATCTAGTTGTTTTAGTATAAATCTACTAGTAGTTCAAAACTTAATCTAAATCCTCTTCATTTTGTTAACAAGGGCACATTGCTATGCTACTCACTATCTATCACAGAATAGAGAACGGAATTCGTGAAAGAACGCTAGTAGGTTAAACTAATTCAAAAGTATTACAGATGAAAATAGGCTTACAGATTGAAGCTCATTGCCATAGAGATTACCTTTGCTAGCTGCTGACTGTTCCGTACACTATGCACCATTTGAGCTCCTTTGGGATGTATTTTCTCCACATGGCGCCACATTCTTTCCCATGTTTTTTTACCTATTGGAAAACCATCCTTATTGACATAAAACAACACTCCACTTTCGTCTTCACTGGGCACATCCTTATTTTCCCCGTCTTCACAGAAACGAGCTTCATCAGCCATGGTGCTGATATCAGCTTATTTGTCTGCATATCATCGTTCTTTACCACTCCACTCGTTATCCAAATCGTTATCCAAAACAGAAAGGAAAGAAAACTTTGTAAAACCCAGAATCACAACATAATTTTAATTTTCATAACGCAGCTAGCAGAATTGGGGTTGCTATGCAACCAAGCCATCTACCTATATCCTAATGGGAATGAACACTGTTCTATCGCGGACTCATAGGATACAACATGGCGTCTCTGTGCAGCCAATCAGAGAAGTTGTAACATTTTGGTTCGAGTGCCACATCACCCAAATATCTTATCGGAAATTTCACTATATATTTACTCGTTTTTATTTCACCTTCAAAATGTCTTCCTGGTTAAGCAATAATTTAACAGGCGGTCTATCCAGTATATCTAATTTTACAGGGCAAATTTCTTCCTTTACTCGCGAAATGTTGACAGAGGGAACAGAGGAAGTTTCTGGTAAGATTTGTGTGTTCTGATTCAGTTGGTAATTTCGTGTTTAAGCTTATATTTTAAGTGCTTTCAGTTGTATCCTGTGAACGTGTTCTTTTCAAATGAAAGTAAACTGCCATACAATTTTTGATATGGTCGCTGGAATCACAAGGGAAGTGTACTTGGTGCTTGAAATGTTACATGGACATTTGCATCTAAGTCTTATGTGGATGTACCTCTGTCCCTGAACTTTGAGGAGTGGGGAAGGTGTTTAATTTGTATTCATAAGCTTCACTTAAATTTCATAAACAGACCCTTCAGCAGAGCTTCAAGTTGCACAAGCTCGCATTAATGACTTTGAGACACAGATTTTAAATCAAAAAGCTGAGGTGAGTTTTTTAATATGCAAAATGTTTGTAAACCAGGAAGGTTAGCCCCTTATCTTGTTAACTGCCAATATTTTTAAAGTCAAAGGCGTGATGTGTTTGTCCTGGAAGTGCCAGGAAGTGCCAGGATTTTCAAAAAGGATGCTAGTTCTGTCCAGAGAGATCTGGAGATGTCCCCCAGGTCTCAAAGTTTTTGAAGTTCTAGATACTGAAGCAGAAACAGCTTGTCAGGCTCAGTCCCAGGATCTCTTATTCGGGGAGGGGGGTGGGGAAACAGGGGGGAAGACACAATAAACATCAGAAATAAAGAAGTTTCAAATGCTACAAGGAAAATACCTGACAAGAAACCATTCAGACCCATGACCTCTTTACTTACTGTATTTAAATATTTCCTCTCAAAGTATATATGACAGTTACTTGTAAAGTTGCTTGATGGGATATGTGATATGGAAATCAAAAAGATAAATTTGGATAGCATTGTTTTTCAGACACATAGCCACTATGAGGCAAACCAATGCAAATTTCCCAGTCATATTTTCATTTTTTTTTCATCTTTGTTGTATTTGTTTGGAGGGGGAAAGTGAAACACTGCTAAATCATTACCTAGCAAGACATTGCTTCATCCTTGGCTACGTGGCTAGGCAGGTCACGATGTTAAAATGAGAATCTTGGTTGACATATTTTTCAAACTGAATGGATAGAAATTAAAAAAAGTAAGATAAATATATCACAAATGAGACACTTGCTCAGTGCCAATTTTGGTTTAAAATTGTAAGTAAAAGGTAAGTAAAGTCTGCATACGAGCCAAGTGNTAAATTAAAAGTATAATTTTAGATTTACATGGTGTAATTGCTGATTGAGGCAAGGTAGTTCTTTTTGAATATGCATAGCCTCCTTTTGAGTTGAAAGCTGGTAGGGGCGTGATCTAAAATATGAAAGCAGTCTATTGAACACAATGAGCGACAATGTTTTCACGTTCTGTTGTTAACATTTGTCTTAATTAGCATTTTTGCCTACTTATTATTCAACTTGCTTTGTAATCATTCATTCAACAGAAGATGACAGAAGTTCTGTCGAAACATGTCTTTTAAACTTAAAAAATTGGTCGTTTTCCTTAAAATCTTTACCTACATTATTGCTTTGATTTCATAACCTGATTAGTCCCAGGTCTTAACCCCCCATGGTTTCTGACCTGGCCAGAAATGAAATTCCAGTTTTTCAGTTGGCTAAAACGTTCTAGAGAAAAAGTGCGATATTTATTCAAATGCTTCTTAATCTCTTGCTGCTTGAACTATTAGGTCTGCAGTAGATGTTACCTAACTTTTCATGTTTATTTAGCATCAGATCTTTCTTTCTTACTACCTTAAATTTGTTTTTTCTTGTTAGTATGAGAGACTGAAACAAAACAACGATGAACTTCATGTGAGACTTGAGGCCTCAGAACTTCAGATCAGCAATATATCTAAGGAATACCGGGCACAGTTACACAACAAGGAGGTAAAAGTTACTTAACAAGATCAAAGCTGACTGAACTGTTATGATTTTCTTCATTCAGTAGTAAGCTTGAAGAAATCTGTGAGATTTAGAAATTAATAATGTTTAGGGGCAGAGTTTAATCATAGCACAAGTCAAGTTGGTCCCGAGTCTAGTTCAAATCACAAGTTAGAGTCACTTTTTTTAAAATTCACTTTCCTTTTTCTTGGTTTAGTTTGACTATAATCGTTGTTGTAAAAAAACCGTGTTAGGTTTGGCTCAAAGCAGTTTTCCACATACTGCAGATGCAACAGTGAAGCTAAGATTTGTTTTGCATTTTGAAACAATAAAAGTTTAAGACCACTGGTATAAAAAATATTTCCTCACTGAGCCTGGCCATCTATTTATTTTGTGGAGAAGTGTTCTCCTTGAACCCTTGCACAAGGGAAAAATACATTGGATATGATTATTCTGCATTATTTACAAGTATAACAGATGTCTGTTGCTGCAGTGCATCGCAGAAAATTGCCAACAAAGTAGCACTGCACATACACTTGAGCCTGCAAACATTTGACATTAGGGAATATGCTGCATAATACATGTATGTATCATTTTGTTGTAATAAACAGCAAGAGCTGATTAAGCTCAGGGAGCTCAGCAGATTTCAAGAGGAACATGGTCATAGCTTTGGAAGAAGAGAGAGACATGATTCCACTGACAGTATTGAAGATTCCATGGAGATAAAAAGACTACGCAGTGAGATTTCAAAGCTTCAAGTTGAGTGTCAACACTGGAAATCCATAGCAAATGGAGTGGTGAGTAGGAAACCAAGTAATGTCATATGTGTATGCAGATACAAAAAAGTGGCTTGCTTCAGTCACTTGGGTCACTTAATGCACAAACGTTTTCTTCAAAATTGCCATTTGTCTTTTGGTAGCATCTGTCCAGTGGTATCTCACACCCATTATTCATGCAGTACTGTGACATTCTCTTGCACAGCTTTTTTTCCAACTCAAAAGTAACAGGTGCTATTCACAATGGGTTCTACAATACTGGGTTAAATTGATGCTGCAGTTCTTAGGAATAAAATGTCAACCACGAAGAAACCAAACTAACAGACAAAAATGAAAAATTTTTGGTGTATTGAATACTTAAAAGGAATAAATTATTACAAAATATAAATAAACATGTTTGGCATCATATCAAAATATAAATTTATGAACTTGTAATATTAATGAACTTTGCAGGGAAATCAAGATAATCTGCACAAAGAAATAGACCAGTATCAGCATGAACTGACAGCACTGCAAAGCAGTTACTCACAAAAGATTTCTAATCTCAACAAGAAGCATAAACAAGAGTTACAAAACTGGCAGGACGAAAAACAGGAATACTTACAGAGAATTGAAGAGTTAGAAGGAAGGCTTCTAAATCCCAATGGTGTGTTTATAATGACTGCATAGTTTTAGCCTCAAGATTCAAATTTCTACATGCCAGTGTATTGCCTTTTATACCACGCCATAGAAAATGTAGCCAATCAGAATACAGGAAAGCCATTATATACTCAATGGTGTTACATGCAATGTTCCCATTGAGCACTGCGTTGATTGTGTTAGCCGCTGTTTTTTCTATGGCATGATATAAAATAGCTATGCTACACTTTGTCTTGATATACCATGGAATATCCTATTTTTCACTTGTATTTTCTTGGTATGCACACTCTCCTATAGGTTTATGTGCATACTGAGAATACTCGTGGGATATTCTATGGTAATAAATATTGGTAATATCCAAAAGGATCTGTGGATGTGTGGCACAGTGTAAAATGTTGAAAAGTTATAAATAGTAATAATTTAGTGCCAAAATAAACTCAGTTATATAGCAGACGTTTCAGGCTTAGCCCTTCCTCAGTGCTAAGTTTTGCATGTACTGAGGAAGGACTAGACCCAATATGTCTGCTTTATAATTGAATACATTTTGGCACTAAATTATTACCAAATACTATTATAACCTTTGAACATTATTGCATGGTATACCAAGGGAAGCATAACTAGTATGCATGCCATTATCTGTGGTTGGCAAAATGGTGCAAAATTCACAAAGTTTATATTCATTCACATTTAATGTTGTTATTATTATTCACGAATATATTTATTTACATTCAACAACTAAATTTATATTCAAGAAATATGTTAATTCACATTTAACGACGTATTTCGTATTCACGAATATATTTACTCACATTTACGGGATGTATTCATTCACATTCAACGGTATATATTCATTCACA